CGTTTTTCTTGGGAAAGCCCAACCCTCCTTGGGAACCAGCAGAATTGTGAAGAGTTGCCAGATCTTCAGATCTGGCAAACCGCACAAATCCAACAACTCGTTTAAGCCACGTCTGACGAAACAGATGGGACCAGCCGATCTCCAGCTCGTCCGAATCTAAAAAAAACTTTAACAATGTATATTTCAACACCACCAAAAGTCATATATCCAGTTCCTGCAGACTGGAGTCTCAACCAGTCACCGGTTTAGTCTAGCTTGGTTGAAGATGGAACATTTGATTCTACTGGATAGCCATGCTTTCGTGTTATCAAGATTATACACACAGTACGCTGAATTCCTGGCAGACCGTCACGTACCACATTAATTGCTTTGGAGGCCAATTCATAAACACCTAAATCAGCCTTCTCTCCCCCCCCCCCCCAAATGGGGCAGATTCCCTCTGTCTGCGACAACTTCCCAACCAGCAGTCCAAGGAGCGTCTGTCTCGGACGAATGCTTGCGGATTTACATTTGCAGGTCAGAATTGTTTTTATCAAGGTCATTGTAGCATCTGCAATGTTTGTAAACTATTTGGACCGCTTTAAATAAGGGAGAGAACTTGGTTTAAATTATTTCTTGCCAAACTTGGAATAGGAGAATGCTCCTGTGAACTCTGAGATGGGGTTTCTGGCACGCCGTGAGTTAAAGTACCTTTAGACTCACTAGGTGGTCTAAGCAGCTACTAACAGCCTAGGAGGAGTAGAACTTCAGTCTCAAGAGAAGCTGGTTCTGATCCTCCCCAAAGCATGGAATCATCTTGGCCAACTGCTTCATCTAATCAATTTCACAGGCTCTTGTGAAAATAATTGGCTTTATTCTACTATCTTCTTCACTTTTTTTTTTTTTAAATATGATAGATAGACGACTTTGTCATTTGGACCTCTTGGCCTGTAAGTAAAACTGACTTGACTGAAGTTCGTAGCAATTAAGCTCTTCAAGATCTTTTGTGAGCGTGACCGCTGCAGGAGACAGCAAGTTAAAATCATTCGAATTCATAAATCCCTGGAGATTGTTCTGTGTTCTGCTGGGTTTGTTTCCCCAAGCCAGGATTCACTTAACAACCAGTTGCTAACTTAACACCTGCTTCACACTGAACAACTGCTTCACACTTAACAAATGGGGCAAGAAAGGTTGTAAAAATGGGGCAAAACTCACTTAACAAATGTTTCGCTTAGCAAGAAAAGTCTGGGGCTGAATTGTGGTTGTAAATCAAGGACCTGACAGAAGGCCACCTAAAGAGACTAGAAGCATTTGAAATGTGGATTTACAGGTGGCTGTTATGTATAAGATGGGTTGACAAGATCAGAAATGAGGAGGTGATCAGCCGCCTGGGAAAGCCAAGGGAAATCATCAAAACAATTAAAAAACGAAAGTTAGAATATTTCGGACATGGGAAGCGACACCCAGAAAAATATGGCATACTCCATTTAATCCTCCAGGGAAAGATGGAAGGCAAACGAGGTCCAGGCAGAAGAAGAACATCGTGACTTCAAAATCTAAGGGACTGGTTTGGACAAAACTCAGCAGCACTTTTTCGTGCGGCTGCTGATAAAAACAGGATCGCCAACATGATCGCCAACATCCGATAACGGATATAGCAGAAGAAGAAGAAGAAGAAGAAGAAGAAGAAGAAGAAGAAGAAGAAGAAGAAGAAGAAGAAGAAGAAGAAGAAGAAGAAGAAGAAGAAGAGGAAGAAGAGGAAGAAGAAGAAGAAGAAGAAGAAGAAGAAGAAGAAGAAGAAGAAGTAGTAGTAGTAGTAGTAGTAGTAGTAATAATAGTAGTAGTAATAGTAGTCAAGGACCATCTGTATGCCATGGGAAGGGAACAAAGAAGTTAGCCAGTCCATTTGAGATCAGCCTGCCCACAAGCCTTATTTGGCTGAAAAAAGGGAGAGGAGAGGAGAGGAGAGGAGAGGAAAAGAGAGGAAAGGGGAGAAAAAAGAAAAAAGGAGAGGAGAGGAGAGGAGAGGAGAGGAGAGGAGAGGAGAGGAGAGGAGAGGAGAGGAGAGGAAAGGAAAGGAAAGGAAAGGAGAGGAGAGGAGAGGAGAGAAAAAAGAAAAAAGGAGAGGAGAGGAGAGGAGAGGAGAGAAGAGAAGAGGAGAGAAGAGAAGAGAAGAGAAGAAAAAGTCATGGAGGCTTCAAAGGCCAAGTTCAGATCGCTTCCCCTCACTCCCACCTGGGAAAAACTGGAGTAGAAAAGACATCTGAGTTACATCTCCAGGTTAAGCCTTAAGTGAAAAAGGATAAGTGGTATTAAATTTAGGAGAATATTTATACAAACCTCAAGAAATCAAGTAAGTTTTCCGGGGAGGCAGGAAAACGACAGAGAGGAGGAACGTTCAATTACCTTACTTTTGAAGTACATTAATGCCCATTTCCTACATTTATCGGCGGTGACATCCTGACCCAATGTAAATTTAATGCTGCAGAACTCTAAATGTGGTTTGAGAAAATGGGGGCCATCAGACCAGAAGGATCATTCCCTTTCTCTTGCTTAATAGCCTCGGCCAAGACTTAGCGTCATGTTCACCCAACTCTTAACTCAGCAGAGAGATCAGGTGGTTCCCAATATACATATTAGCTCTCAACGACAGATCTTCTGATATGTTGACTTACATATTAATACGAACGTGCCAAATTTGTGTCTTCCCAGACTAAGCAGGTATCCACCCTTTCCCAATGTCTGCAACGTACAGGAAGTTCTCAACTTACGACAGTTTGTTTGGTGACCCTTTGAAGTTATATAACGGTACTGCAGGGGTGTCAAACTCAATTTCACTGAGGGCTGCATCAGCACTGCGGTTGCCCTTGGGGGGCCGGGTGGGTGTGGCCAGAGTGGGTGCAGCCTACTGGGTGGGCGTGGATGGAGTGGGTGTGGCCTACTGGCTGGGCGTGGCCAGCTCTACATCATTCGCGTCAAGGGTTCCTGTGGGGGCCTGGGCAGGAGTGGGACAGATCTGAGGGTCTCTGGCAGAAGGGGGTGGGACCGGGGAAAGTGCCAAGGCATGGTCCACTGGGGCAAGTGCCAAGATGGCCACCACAAAATTGTATATTGGCTCCCGGCCAGCCTGGGCCAGGGCCAAGGCAGTGGGGGCCGTTCCTTCACTGTTTTCAGGATGGCTTCGCGGGCTGCATGAAACCACTTCGCGGGCCACATCCGGCCCCCGGGCCTTGTGTTTGACATGTCTGCGGTACTGAAAAAAAGTGACTTAGGACCATTTTTCACACTTAGGACCGTGGCGTTATCTAAATGGGTCACATGATCCAAATTCAGACGGTTCATATTTATGACCGTTGCAGTGGTCCCCGTGTCACATGATCCCCTTTTGGGACCTTCTGACAAACAAAATCGACGGGAAATCCAGAGTCATTTCACAACTGAAGTCGGAACTGAAGAAGCTTCTTGGAGGAGAAGCGAAACAACTTCCAAGAAAAAAAAAAACACAAAGAAAAGTCCAGTTGCCTTTTGAAAAAAAAAAAGCACCTTTGGGAGAACAACTGCAGCGATTCGCTTAACAGGCAGGCACAGCCACACATCTCTGTGCATCAATGATTCACCTGTGGAGATGGTTACCAGCGTCAAATTCCTGGGTGTGCAGCTAACGAATAGGCTGACTTGGTTGCTCAACAGCGAGACACTGTTGAAGCGGGCACAGCAGGGCCTGCATTTTCTGCATCGCATGAGAAAAGCACATCTTCCTTCCCCTGTCCTGACCACTTTCTACAGGGGGACGATCGAGAGCATCCTGTCATACGGCATCACAGTCTGGTTTGGAGGCATCCCTGCTTCAGACAGGAAGGTGGGGCAGAGAGTGGTGAGGAGGGTAGAAAAGATCATTGGCAGTTCCCTCCCTCCCATCCAGGACATAGCACAGAAGCGCTGCTTTAATAGGGTCCATAAGATTATCTGGGACACGACATATCCTCTCCACGACCTGTTTTCCTTGTTCCCTTCTGGGAGGGGACTCCGTGGTATCCAAAGCAGAACATCCAGATTCAGCCATAGTTTCATTCCATACGGCATTAACCTTGTGAACTCTCACGCTTCCCCCTTCCCTTATATATTCAAGATGGACAGCATTTAATATTTATTTGCTACGTATACGTAGGGATGTGGGTCTATACATATGTTGTATACAGTATGTTTTAGGTGTGTGTGTCATGTATGTGTTTCACTTTGAGAGCGGGCAACTAAATTTCATTTTTGAGGTGTGCCGTTGTGCCCGCAGTAAAAAAAATGACAATAAAGGTTATCTTATCTTAATTGTGGCAAAAAAGGTCGCGAAACGGGGCAAAAGTCACTCCCATGAAAATTTGGGGCTGAGTTATTTCCGTAACTCGAGGAGTATCTGTAGTTAAAGGATGCACAAAGGATGCTCTTGGGGGGGGGGGAAGCTGGAGGGGCAAAGCCAGATCAGATAAACAATAGGGCTTGTGTCTTTCACCTGAGACCAAATAAGGCTCTTCTGCTACCCATGTCCCATTTTGAACTGCTATTTCAGGTGGCAAACTTTGTGAAAGATGTTGTCAGTGCTGCTAACACTGGATGTTCTTGCTTTGACAACCTATGGAGATGCAGCCTTTTTCCTTCTTATGCTTTACTCTTAGAATTAGATGATGGGGGGGGGAGGAATGTGACGGGAGTTAGTTAGACATAACAATATTGAAATAGTGCGTGAATTCAGGGCTTTTGAAATAAGAGATGATAAGAAATTGCGGGATGGAGTAATCGAGGGAAGGTCTGCATTTCAAACTAATTGGAGAATGTGATTTATGACTGTAAATTAGAGGAGGGAATTGTGCTTTGATACTATGTGCTCAGGGGAGGGGAATTCAGTTTTGGGCTTCAACTGTGTTAGTGCCCTAGAAGTTCTTTGAAGAGTTTCATCTGTCGGAACCATAACAGATGTCATAGCAAGCAAAGTGATCCATAATGCACCACAAGGGGAAAAAAATGCTTACCGCTGGGGTTGAAAGCCATGCAGCAGATGGGCTTCTCGTGGGCAGGGAAGTGCGCTACGACGCCGTCACTATCGGAGTCCTCACTCACCAGGACCTGTGAAATAGCAGAGAAAATGGAAGATGAGACGTGCAAATGCCGTTTGGTTCCATTACATTGGAAGCCCACGGATTCCTCCAGTAGTTAAGGCACCAGGCTAGAAAGTGGGAGTGCTAGTCTGGCCTTAGCCATGAAAGCCAGCTGGGCGACTTTGGGCCAATCACCAGGAGATGGTGAGTTCTACCCCCACCTTAGCCATGAAAGCTAGCTGGGTGATTTTGGGCCAATCACCAGGAGACGGTGAGTTTTAGTCCCGCCTTAGTCATGAAAGCCAGCTGGGTGACTTTCGGCCAATCACCAGGAGGTGGTGAGTTCTTGTCCCGCCTCAGCCATGAAAGCCAGCTGGGCAACTTTGGGCCAATCACCAGGAGAAGGTGAGTTCTAGTCCCGCCTTAGCCATGAAAGCCAGCTGGGTGACTTTGGACCAATCTTTTTCTCTCAGCCTAACCCTAACCCACCTCAAAGGGTTGTTGTTGTGGGGAAATAAGAGGAGGAAGGTGTGTTAAATATGTTTGTCATCTTGAGTTATTTGTATAAATAATAAAGGTGGGCTGCATAAGTAAGTAAGTAAATAAATAAGTAAGTAAGTAAATGGATGGATGGATGGATGGTTGGATGGATGGACGGATCAATAAACAAACAAACAAATAAATATCCTTTCTTAAGTCCTCCAAGTAAGGAATGACCCTATAAACTTCATTAGGCATAAGGAAAATTACATCTGCTTGCAAAAGGCCTCCTTCTTCCAGCTGAAGGATCTTCCACTAGAGGTAGAATTAGGTGTGGTTAAAAAAAAAACTAAGCAGGGTCAGACGTGGGCCGCATTTCATGTTCCCATAAAATCACCGCAGTCAACTTTATTTTTTTATTTTTTTACAAAGCGGAACTTGGCAAGTTCCCCAGTCCTTCTTACTAACACAAACTTATCCGAAGGAGGCACCACCTCTCCTTCAAGTCGGTGTCAACTCTTAATGACCACCTACAGATAAGATTTCCTCTAGGGGTGAATTGTCCCTAATCTAGTCTTTAAAATTATTATTTTCTTTAATGGAAGCTTTTTCACAAGATAAAAAGACCTAACCTGGTGTAGGGGACCTCTGGGATTCTCTGAGCTTGATTGGTTTTTTTGCAGATGTTTCATGACCCAACTAGATAACATCATCAGTGCTAGAAGGGAGGTGGGGGTTCTCTCACTATTTACATAAGTGGCTTGATCTATCAGTGCATGGGGGCGGGGAGTGTTGATCTCTTGTGGGGTCCTTGGTGCTCCCTAAGCTTGGTTGTTTTCTTGCAGAAGTTTCATGACCCCTCTAGGTAACATCATCAGTGCTAAAAGGGAATGGGGTATGGGAGTGGGAGTGGGAGGAGGAGGAGGAGGAGGAGGAGGAGGAGGACAGTGGAGTCCTTGGCGCTCCCTAAGCTTGGTTGTTTTCTTGCAGAAGTTTCATGACCCATCTAGGTAACATCATCAGTGCTACAAAGGAATGGGGTGTGGGAGTGGGAGTGGGAGGAGGAGGAGGAGGGGAGGACAGTGGAGTCCTTGGTGCTCTCTAAGCTTCGTTGTTTTCTTGCAGACGTTTCTTTACTCAAATAGGTAATATGAAAACCTCACTTTCTTATAGCACTCTGTGACTCCTCTTATGTATGCAGTTGATGGGACATTATGGTGGGTGAAAAACAGCACTATCCACTCAGCAATCCAGCTGAGGTTGAATCTAATGAACCACTGAGACAGCTGTGGTATTGTTGATTAAACTGCACATTCATTGAGGTCATGAATATTCTTTGAACTAGCTGTCTAATTGTTATAGCTAAACCAGAAATCTAATATTAGTTTTCTTTTTGTTTTTCTTTAAGCCTCCCTCAATTTAGACCTTGTACTTTTGGCCAATGTTATGGCTGGCCAACAAGAAAAGTTGCATCAATCCAGCCCAACGCAATGGTATCATTATTTTGCAAAACATGTAATGACAACAAAGGGCAACCTGTGACCCACATCCTGACACACATAAAAGCACCTCAAAAAAATATTCCAGCTCTATCAAACGTTAGCAGGAAAAAAGCTAACTATCGCACCAATGGGCAACACCTCAGCAGTTCTTCTCTTTTTAGTGGAATCCACCATCAAGCTAGCTTGATTTCGACTAGCTTTGGCTCAGTCAGGGCCATTAATCTGCAATGAAAATGTCTTCCTGAGAAAAGGCAGAGCTCCTTAAATAAAAGTGAAGGCAGATATTTCAGAGGGAATGTGGGGGAGGGGCAGAGAGAGTGGGGGAAAGAGGGAAGGAAAGAAAAATGAGGGAGAGAAGGAGAGAGATGGAAAGAGAGAGAGAGAGAGAGAGAGAGAGAGAGAGAGAGAGAGAGAGAGAGAGGGATGATAGGTTACCAGATGACAGACATAAACAGACAAAACGAAAAAGCAAAAATTTCAAATGATGGAGCACCACAATTCCAGGAGGCAAGCTGGTCCACTGATTAATTGTTCTCACTGTCAGGAAGTTTCTCCTTAGTTCTAGGTTGCTTCTCTCCTTGATGAGTTTCCACCCATTGCTTCTTGTCCTGCCTTCAAGGGCTTCGGAGAATAGCTTGACTCCCTCTTCTTTGGGGCAGTCCCTGAGATATTGGAACGCTGCTATCATGTCCCCCCTCGTCCTTCTCTTCATTAAACTAGACATACCCAATTCCAGCATCGTTCCTTATATGATTTGGCCTCCAGTCCCCTGATCATCTTTGTTGCTCTTCTCTGCACTCTTTCTAAAGTCTCAACATCTTCTTTACATCGTGGTGACCAAAACTGGATGCCGTATTCCAAGTGTGGCCTTACCAAGGCCTTGTAAAGTGGTATTAACCCTTCTCGTGATCTTGATTCTATCCCTCTGTTATGCAGCCTAGCACTGTGTTGGCCTTTTTGGCAACTGCAGCACACTGCTGACTCATATTGTTGTTGTTAAATTAGTAACACGATTGTTAAGTGAATCTGGCTTTCCCATTGGCTTGGCTTGCCATCAGGTCACAAATGAGGGTCACATGACCCCGGGACACTGCGACTGTCATAAATACGAGTCAGCGGCCAAGCATCTGAATTTTGATCACGTGACCCTGGGGACACTGCAACGGTCACAAGTGTAAAAAACAGTCCTAAGTCACTTTTTTGCCGTACAGTCAAAAATCACTGTACGGCATTGAAAAAAGTGACTTAGGACCCTTTTTCACACTAATGACCCTTGCAGGGTCACGTGATCAAATTTTTGGTTGCCCGGCAACTGGCAGCTCTTTATTATTGCACTGTCCTGGGGTCATGTGATCACCGTTCGTAACCTTCCCAGCTGGCTTCTGACAAGCAAAGTCAATTCGTTTAATGACCGCACGATTCACTTAACAACCGCAGTGGATTTGCTTCACAAGTATGGCAAAGAAGGTTGTAAAATGGGGGCGAAACGCAACAGCTGCCCTGCTTAGCAACAGAAATTTTGTGCTCGATAGTGGTCATTATACATAGCATAGCATAGCATAGCATAGCATAGCATAGTATAGCATAGCTTGCATCGCATAGCATAGCATAGCGTAGCATAGTACAGTGGTGACGAACCTATGGCACGTGTGCCAAAGGCAGCACTCAACGCCTTCTCTGTGGGCACGCGTGCCATCGCCCCAATCCCGCCTCCTCCTACGGCCCCTTCCTCACCAGCAGCCTCCCCCCAGAGGAGAGTTTACCCTAGGTGCAGCTCGTGTGGAGCAGCGCAGCCAAGAACATGGCAGCCGGGCAAGACTCCGCCCACACGCCCCATCGCGTGCAGATGATGCTGCGGGGCGTGGGCAGAGGGCATGGCTGCCATGGTGCTTCTGGGCCGCCTGGGTGATCTGCGGTGGGCCATGGAGGCGGGGGATGGCCCTGAGGCTGGGGGAAAGGCAGGGGCAGGGAGCAGGGTGGGGGCGGGTTGGTTTTTGGGCACTCAGTCTCTAAAAGGTTCGCCATCACTGGTATAACATAGCATAGCATAGCATAGCATAGCATAGCATAGCATAGCATAGCATAGCATAGCATAGCATGGCATAACACAACACAACACAACACAACACAATCTATACATTAGCCTGTCCCAGCTGGTCAGGCAGCGAAGGTGACTGGCGGACCAGTCAGTTAAAGAATTCCGACTGGTGGGGTCCCGAGTTTTCTCTGCCATTGCCCCCGACCGGTGGAATATCCCCCCCCCCTGAAGGTGAGGCTACCCCCCCCACTCTCCTGGCCTTCTGAAAAGGGGTTAAAACATGGCTCTCCGGACTTGCTTGGGACTGGTTAGTGCCTTGAGAGCTCTCTCCTTGCCCTTTTCACTAATTTTTAACAAGGTTTAATCATCCTTGCCTCCTTCTAAATTTTACATTTGATACATTTTAAATGCTCACATTTAAAATTTTTATACTTTTAACTTTGTATTGTACATTCACCCGGAGACCCTCTCTGAGGGAGATGGGTGGTTTAAAAATGTGATTTTTTTAAAAAAAATAAAAAAATTAAATTAAAAATAAATAAAATTATGATAAACTTTCCCTTAGGTCAGTGGTTCTCAACCTGTGGGTCGGGACCCCATTTGGGGTCGAATGACCATTTCAAGGCTGTCCGCCATTTTTTTCCCCCTTTTCCTTAGCTGTGCTACTCCCTTTTATTCTATTGGCTTTCGAAAGCCAGTAGAATAGACTCTCTTGAATAGAGTCCAATTCTATTGGCTTTCAAAAGCCAATAGAAATTGTCCAGGCTGTCTCTGCCCTGCTGAGCCCGCCAAAAGTCCCATTCTGCAAACGGTGCTGCACCAGTTGAGTAGTCCTCAACTTACGACCGGTTGGGGGGGTCGCGGCATTAAAAAGGTTGAGAACCACTGGGTTATGTGCTGGGGTCCTACAAATTCAGGAGAAAATAAGCCGTGCTTGTGAGATAAACTTTAAACGTTTAAACTAGAGATCTACGGTCCTTGAGCTGTTTTCATATTCTACCGTTCTTC